AATTAGGCTAATTAATTGGTGATTTTTTTTTTCTTGGGTTGGGTGTTGAATTAATTGTCTCTTGATTATGTAAGATCTTGAGACATTTATGGTTAACAGTTACCACTTTATGTCTGACTTTTAAACTGATGAAGTTGGATTGTTTCATTTTGCAGCTCCGAATAGAGGAATGAATTGGTCCTTCTCAAACAACTCTGCTGCTGCTTCTCAGTTTCTAACTTTCAGGCCATCTCAAGAAGACAGACAGAGAAAGTCTGGAAATTATCATATGCCTCACTCTGGTTCATTCATGCCATCATCAGTAACTGATGTATATGACTCAAACCGCAAAACTCCTTACAGTTCTGTTCAGGTATTTGTCATCATTCATCAAAACCTATGTTAGCCAATTACCAGGTTAATTGGGGATTAGAGACCCATGTGCCCTTTTCCCCTGTTAGGTAGCTTCATAAGTGAGCTCTGTTCATGGGTCTTGGTCAAGTTTTCTGTTGTGATTCCAAATGGATCAACACTGTTGTTGTTGGTTGTTAATGGCAATTAGTTTGTGGATTTAGTTTTGGTTTCATAGTGATTTGTTTCGAGTGTAAGCTAAGCTTCTCATTTTCGATCAATTAGTCCACAGAGTTGCCTTACACGTTATGGCTTGTTTGCTCTCAGGGAGTCAGGATGTTCCCTAATTCGAATCAACAGGAAGAAACTATCCCAGCTTCCATGTCCATGTCGGGTTTTCAGTCTCATTATGCGCAAGGAGGAAAAAGCTTCATCAACAATATCATAAACTCACAACCTTTGGTAGGAGTTCCTATCATGGCACCTCCCATTTCAGTCCTTCCTGCTCCAGGTTCAGTTGTAGGGACAACTGATATTAGGTACACACTTGCTTTAATCTTCTCTGCTAGTCATCATATTACGTATTACAGTTACAGAATCTGTTTCTGTTTGAAGGTATCTAAATTCCCATGGTTGACTCAAACGTCTTCTTTTGCCAGATCTTCCTCCAAGCCATTAGGAGCACCTGCTCAGTTGACGATCTTTTATGCCGGTTCAGTTTGTGTTTACGACGACATATCTCCTGAGAAGGTAGCTCAATCATATATGCATCTCTTTTATTCGCAGCCATAGTACTCATTTGCTTAATTATTTCATTCCTACATCATAGGCCAAGGCAATAATGTTGCTAGCTGGGAACGGTTCACCTATGCCTCGAGCCTTTTCACCGCCTCAAACTCATCAACAAGTGGTCCATCATGCTCGTGCTTCTGTTGATTCTTCAGCTCTGCCTCCTAGCTTCATGCCTACAGTCTCTTATCGTAGCCCTGAAGCTGGAAGTAGCACTAATGGACTTGGAGCACCAAAAGCAACCAGAGGCTTTACATCAACTTACCACAACAACCAAACTAATGCATCCAATATCAACTGTTCAATGGCAGTTTCTTGTTCAACCAATGTAATGGCTCAAACAGGTAAAATGACGTCTTAAACCTGATACTGAATTCGCCATCTAGCTTACTGGCTTTAGTTTAAATGTCGTTCTGTTTGTTACGCAGTGGCTTTACCTCAGGCTCGCAAAGCATCTTTGGCTAGGTTCTTAGAGAAACGCAAAGAAAGGTACACAACAATTCTTCACAGAATAAACCAATTAATGGTTTCTTGAGCTAACTTA